GTTCTTTATTGTTCACCTGCATGGCATATTTTCTTTCTCTAGCACAGTTTAGTTTACATTATGCCACAGAACTGTGGGCTTTGTTCTTCTTATGTGTCTTTAAGTCATTTCGACTTATGACAACGCTGTCATGCTGTTTTCTTGGAAAGGTTTGTTGGGGAGGGGGGCAGTGCCACCACTTTTCTCTGAGGCTGAAAGGGTGTAACTTGCCTTATTTCCAAGGTCAAGTAGGGATTCAAACCCTGGTCTCCCAGAGTTCCAGTCTAACACTTAAAGCATGACTACACCATGCTGGCTCTCTATATAATATTTGTATATATTATGCAGATGTGTACATGCATCTCTCAAGAACACACCATCGTGTTGGTAAAAGCATGTTTTTTCTGTGACTGTATGAGGACTGCTTTTGTGAGGTGAGCAGGATATGCCTTTTACAAATGCCAGGAAACATGCATTCGTGAAATGTGTGACTCTTTGGCAGCTGAAGGCATTCAGGTATGGGTACTAGATTGTCTACATCTCTCCTCCTGTCATCTTGTCAAGACAAGGATCATATTCAGTAAAAGAGGGATGCTTTTGCAAGAAAGGAAATGCCAGCCTATGTATATGTTGGATTCATGTCTGTTAAATGCTCATTCATTTCTACATGTTGGTTCTTTTGTGTGTCTGTCTCTTTGTAGAGAGTTTTCTTACATATCCATAGCTGATCAGAAATAAAAAAATATTGTCGACATGGGGTCAGGTGATGCAACTCACTAGCTCCCTATGGGGTTGGGTGAGTTAGCACTCAGTAGAGGGTAATCAGTATTTACTCAGTTCTAGGGTACATTTACTGGTCATGCTATGCTACAAGCCTTGATGCCAGGGTACCGCATGCCTTTATGCCAGTTCTATTTCAGATTAATGATCTTTACTTATTCCCAATCTGGTGCACTCTAGTTGTGTAGGAAGGCTGGAACAATCAGGCTGGTGATGGACTAAGAATGTTGTTAAAGAGTTTTCACATTATTACAGTCCACAGGATTCCTTAGGTTACTTGTATGGGGCATTGTCAATCATGGTCTAATAGCTGGTTTTGGCATTGCAATCCTGTTTGCAGTAAAAATAAGAACACACTAGCATTGTGCTTCTTCCTTTCATACTGCTCGCTAACAATGCTCTATTAGCACAGAATGCTCTATCTGCTCAATGCACTACCACTTAAATTATTCATGATTACTTGTGCCTTGCCTTTCTTATACACCCCCTTTTAAAAACTGGTAGAATTGTGGCATTTCAAGATTTGGCTCCTTATTATAGCAAATTGCCATTTTATATATTTATTAGTACCGGTATGTGATTTTGCAGTTGTGCAATGACGCTTTTCCAATTTCCTGTACACACATCCATCTCGCCATAGCTCTCATCATAATAAATATGGATGACAATAGATTGCAGATCTGGGTACTACACATATTAGTTTATATTGCTAGAAGGTGATACAGTTATCAGTTAGCAGTTTTGAAATGTCAGGACTGCAATAGGAGAACTGTGAGGGTTCCAGCTGATGACCATGTTTGTAAGTTTGAATCCAGCACAGCACATCACAATTATATATGTGCATCTATATCCACAATGCAATTCTCGTTAACAAATCAACACAGCTAAACACATAAAACAAAAACTTTTCCAAAAATATCACTGCAATATATTACAATGAAAGAGAAGCTTATATAACAAGGGAAAAAGCAGACTAGCACCAGGAAAGAATTGCAAAATTACGCAATTAGGCGAAGAATTAGAATTCGAAAAGAGAAAGAAATTTATGTTGTCGAAGGCTTTAATGGCTGGAATCACTGGGTTGCTGTGAGTTTTCTGGGCTGTATGGCCATGTTCCAGAAGCATTCTCTCCAGAATTTTTGCCCATCTCTATGGCAGGCATCCTCAGAGGCATCCTTACAACCTCTGAGGATGCCTGCCATAGATGTGGGTGAAATGTCAGGAGAGAAAGCTTCTGGAGCATGGCCATACAACCCAGAAAACTCACAGCAACCCAGAGAAAGGAATTTATTAAGATATGTGAACGTATGATCTTTGTGGGTATATATGTGATGCTGTTAAGTGTCTATGTTTAATTCTTTGTGTATTAATTTACTCTTTGTGTGTGTGTGTGTGTGTATCCCTTGCCAGTGCTATGGTGGTATCTTAGAAAGGCCAATGAATTCACAGTGTTCACAATTGAAAAGGATCTTCTCAAGCTTGGATAAAACCTCTCAGAATTTAACATACATCTGAACATAATTTGCAATAGAAATCAAGGATTGCAATACCGTATGCATAATGTACCCTTTAAGCATGTATCTGAAGAATGTGTATATTGTAAAAAGGCACACAGGCTTCCTTTTTGGCAGACTATACAAAAAACTTGAAAAATGCACACAAAAATGTGTGCATTTTGAAAAATGCATATGGAAATGCATACCGGTTTTCGTGCAAGACTTGTAAACTGAAATACATCTCAACTGAAACAAGCTTTGAGGTGAAAATGGAGAGCATCAATGAAAGCAAACTTGAAAGAACTGCCTATTTTTAACATGAGGTCAGCTACTGTGGTGGGTCAGGGAGCTTGTTTTCTGCCTGGAGAAGAAAATACCCCTCCAAGGGCTAGAACAGACTGCCAAAAAATGCCAAACATAAATAAATCAAATGAAGGCAGCTGAAAGGTCCCCTCTAGTTTTGAAAAGCAGGCCTTTTTAATAATATTACACAATATACAGAGCTTTTGTATTTAAAAGGTTTGATATTTCAAGAAGAGGCAATTCAACCTGTTTTGCACAGAGAAAGGGCCACAAAACCAGCGCTTAGGTGGCACATACTTCCACAGAGCTTCACTTTATTCATCCCCATCTCCAGTGGTATCTCTTTGTTCCTGCCAAGTCCTCCACACAGATAAACACACACACATATGAATGTGTACCAGGAACAGATGTGTGTGCCATGACTTGGCCTTAGCATCGTTGCCTGCCTGCCTTACAGCACAAAGCAAGATGTATTCATCTGGTTTGATACCAAAGATTCACTGAACACTGGAGGCTATGTGGCCCTAACAGTTGATTTTCTATTATTGGGAGTGACACCAAGCTAATTTGGGACTAAGAAAAATGTGAGACTTCCCCCCACCCCTCTCCCTTGGGACATTGTTTCCTTCTCACACCTCCCATTTCCCTCCTTTATCCTTCCTCCTTTCCATATTCTCCATGGCCAAAATCTCTGCTTCATCAGAATTCCCCAGGAGTTAGGGTTCTGCCTAACCATGCTTAGCTAATTGCAAGCTATGCGACAGGAGAATAAGAAGCCCTCGGAGGCCCCCGGCTCCCCCTCTACCAGCAACGACGTGGATGAAATTATCGACGGCGTGTCATATCCCCCGCTGCAGAATTACTCAGTGCTGCATGGCCTGGTGGGGCCAGCCTGCATCTTCTTGCGCCAGAGCATCGCCATCACACAGATCGTATGTACTTGTGCTTCTGCCATTGTTCCACTTCCATGGCACATCAGGGCATGGCGTGCACTGCTCCCTCTCCCCTTGCCACCTTGGTATGGGCCTTTTCACACAACACAGTTATAACAGTTTGGTTAAGCTTTAGAGCTGTCTGGTGATTTCATCACATGGGCTTTTTTACCCATTGTAGGATGCTTCGAGCACAGTTCCTGGATGGAGCCTGCCAGATCCCATCAGACGATGCACAGCTACTTCCGGCGGGGGTCTGTCCATGAACTGTACTGGAAGTGTGTTCTCATTTGATAGAATGGGGAAAGCGGGGGGGGGGGGGGGGGGGGGGGGGGGGGGAAGTCGGGTGGTAGCGCTTCCTCCCATGGGATGGGTAAAGGGACGATATGAAGTGACGGGTTCTCACACTGCCTGCCGGATTTGCCCCGCTGCCCCATTGATGCCCCCACTTCCCCTAAGATTAAGGACTTCAATGTGATGAGGTCCTAGGAGAGGTCCTAAACCCCACTTCTTCAACTGCAAGTCCCAGGGTTCGAAGCATTGCAGTTAAAGTCGAATCAGAGCACTATAACTGTGCAGTGTGAAAGGGCCCTTCTAAGTGAATGCTGATATATACCTGGATGTTTCAGTTTTGAGCTAAGCATTGTTGTTTCCTCCATTAAGTTTAATAATCTTCCCTTTAGGAAGGTGTGTTAGCTGACAAAACACAACCTATGTGTTACTTCCTGCTGTACATGTAGCTACTATGTGGGTTTGTTCAGTGCAACAATAAGAGTCACTGATTGGTTGATTGTTGATTATGGCACTTCTATGTGCTGTATCTCACATTTTTCGTGAGATTTAGGAATGGAGGTAGAAGAAACACTATAAATAAAAAAACAGCTTTGTTTACCTCTCTAATCTGTGGTTCTCAACCTGTGGGTCCCCAGATGTTTTGGCCTTCAACTCCCAGAAATCCTAACAGCTGGTAAACTGGCTGGGATTTCTGGGAGGTGTGAATTACATGCCTAAGGGGCCTTGTGAGCACATAAAAAAGCAGTCTTTCTATTGGGGACCTCCTGATAAGATGCTCAGTCTCTTAGCTACTTTGTAACACCAGCATTTGGGTAACCCAGATGCACATTAAGCTTTTACTCTTAGGAGAACCCTTTGGTATCTCTTTGAGGAGTCAGAGGAGCTTTTCTTGAATTTCTCTATAGACGGAAATATGGCTTTATTGAACCCAGCAGTGATGCAACATAAGACTGTACTTTTCCACCAATATATTTGGTAGAAAGTTACTGAGCTCTGCGTTCATGTGAACATAGCTAGAAATCGGGCGTCAAGGAAACAAGGTTTTATTTCACAGAAAATATTAACTAGGTGAAGAGGAACAGCAATGAAACTATATTTGGGATATAATGTGTTACTAAAAGGTCATAGCAAAAATTTATATGCAAAATGGGTGTGGATGGGTAAAATAGCCAGTATTTGCTTATTTAAGAGATTCCTTCTTTCTTCCTTTCTCCAGGACAGAGAGCTTCGACCAGAGGAAATTGAAGGTAATAGTGAAATGCAAAATCTTCTATTATCCCAGTTTGGCAAAGACAGTTCCAATTCATTCTGTCACCTTACTACTTTCACCTGGTTTTAAAAATCCCAGTTTCTCTCTCCTCTCATTTCTCTGATTTGTCTTCAGCTTACTTCAGTTGCTGCAAATTGAGTTCAAAATGAATGAATGAATGAATGAATGAAGTTCAGAGATGGTGAAACACTGAAGGAAAGGCTAAAAGGAATGAGTTCAAAGTGCATAAGTATTGTACTTACCGTATTTATTCAAGTATAAGCCCACCTGGATATAAGCCAAGGCAGCTATTTTTACCACAAAAACTGGGAATATTGATTGACTCAAGTATAAGCCAAGGGTGGGAAATGCAGCAGCTACTGGTAAATTTCAAAATAAAAATAGATACCAATAACATTAATTGAGACATTAGTAGGTTAGATGTTTTTGAATATTTACATAAAACTGTAATTTCAGATAAGACTGCCCAACTCTGACCATTATTCTAACCTTCTTCAATGTAAATGTGCTTATGTATCCTTGCAGTAATAATAGAGTAAAATAATAAATGCAATAACAATAATAAATAGATTAAAATGATGACTGTAATCTTAACAACAATAAAGTAAAATAATAAACGTAATAATAGAGTAAAATAATACATGTAACAACAACAACAACAACACCAACAACAACAGAGTAAAATAATAAATAACTTTGACTCAACTATAAGCTGAGGGGGACTTTTTCAACCTAAAATAAGGGCTGAAAATTAGGCTTATACTCAAGTATATACAGTAATTGACTGAGTGTGAAAAAAGGCAGAATTTTGCCTTTTCATGTAGACCCAAGCAAGAGCAAACTGCTGCAGCCTCTTCTAGCCTGTTTTTTTTTTCTTTAATAACTTTTGTCATATTAACTACACTCTGATTTTAGTTGGCTACATGTGTCCCAGTTTTCATCTGTGGATGTTGGAGGGTATGGAAACGCAACAATGCTGTATAGTAGCTTGCAAAATTGCAATGTAACTCATTCTTGGCCCAGTGTTCTCCTTTGTGTTGGTGCTTGTAAGACACATTGGATTCTCAAGATCTACTGTAATTGATCAACAAGTTGAAAAAAGCAATAACTAACAAGCTCATAAGAGGCAATCTTTTCTTATGCTTTCTTATGCTTTTCTTATGTAAGTCTAGTTGAATTCTTTTCTCCTTCCAGAGCTAAAAGAGGCCTTCAAGGAATTTGACAAAGACCGTGATGGCTACATCAGCTACAAGGACCTGGGGGAATGTATGCGCACCATGGGTTACATGCCTACTGAAATGGAGCTCATTGAATTATCTCAGCAGATCAGTAAGTTTCTAGAGTTGTTAAAATCAACCCAAATCTAAAGGCACCACTATAGAATGTTGCCAAGGTGGTGAATTACCCCAGTGAATTCTCCCAGTTTAGCATGGTTCCAGTGCTTTAAAAAAAGTGTCACAAGTGACTTGAGAAATTGTAAGTCGCTTCTGGTGTGAGAGAATTGGCCATCTCCAAGGACGTTGCCCAGGGGAAACCTGAATGGTTTAGTGTGGGAGGCTTCTCTCATGTTCCCGCAAGGAAAGCTGGAGCTGACAGACGGGAGCTCATCCCATCTTGTGGATTTGAACTGCCAACTGTCAGGTCATCAATTCAGCTAGCACAAGGGTTTAGCCCATTGTGCCAGCATGGCTGGTCATGTGTGATATCAGGAACTGATTGGGCCTGTTCTTCACTGTTGTGCTGGTGTTTCAACAGTCTTTGACAACACTCATTTTTAGGACTTCTCACAATTAATCTTCATTCACACATTGATAGAACACATCCACGAGGGTATTAGTGGTGTTGGCATGCTTCCATGTGAAAGGAGTGGTAAATCTAATTTTGACTTTATTCTGAAATTTAAAGTAACTGTCCAGGGTGCTGAACCTATTTTGAGGCTAGGCTTTTGCAACTTGAAGTTCAGAGCAAAGCCTGGGGTGAATTAATTGCTCCACTAACATGGAAGCCACCAAGCACCGCTGAAATATCTTGACCCCAGTGAGGAGTATCTCAGCTTCAATTTGTTTCATTTGGTGAGCTTTTTATGTCTTAGCTCAATTCATCCAAATTAGTATCTGATTCTGAGGAAATTCAGCATAACTGGTTTTTTTTTTTGTTTTGTTTTTGTGACTAGTATCATCCTCCAAGTTTAAGCCAGTGTCTTTTCCGGTCCTATCTAGAAATGGTAGGGATTGAAGATGCCTGTTGCAGGCAAAGCATCGATTCCCCTACCACTAAGTTAGAACTTGGTTTTGCCTGTTTTCCAAAAGGAGAAAATTTGTTTTTATACTCATGCCATGAAGTGCTAAACATACAAAATAATCAAGAAATAATTTTCCTGGAAACAGAAATTGGAATGGTTTCTTAAAATGTGTTTCTCGTTGCTTTACCATTAATACAGAAGTAGCATGTCACCTCCATGTTATTAAGGTGCTGCTTTTCATTTCCAAAATTTTATGTACTGTATTCATAAAAATGTACTTCAAAATAGGAAAATGCCCAAAAATCCTTTTAGTAGCAATTTAAAAATCTAGATGTTATTTGTAAAAGTAATAATCAAATGTTACTCAGTATACTGAAAAATTGAAAACTGTTACAGGTCATTCCATTGTTGTGTCATTTGAACATCAGACCCTCATTACTAAGCTGGAACTAGTAATTGGATTTAGGACTGTATATTTGTTCAAGAGAGCTAGAATGTAAGTCATGAAGAAAGACATTAGGATTTCATGAGTACCTTTTCTGCCAGAAGGCAATTAATATTAAGTTGAGCAGAAACTGACTCAGGAAGCATTTGCTTCAATGGGGTTAAGCAGAAGACCAATTCATGTTCATGTCACAAAATATCATTCACCTTTCTTCCATGGCTTTTGCACATTATTGGTATCCCAATGGTATCTATTGGGATGTACAGAGCACAAATGTAACTATTTCTATGCTATAGATAAAGAACTTTGTATTTCAGGCCAAATGCTGGTGTTTATCTACAGCAGCATTTCTCAACCTGGAGGTCAAGACCCCTGGGGGGATCATGAGGGGGTGTCACCAAAGACCATCAGAAAACACAGTATTTTCTATTGGTCATGAGTGTACTGTGTGGGAAGTTTGGCCCAGTTCTGTTCTTGGCAGGTCCAGAATGCTCTTTGATTTAATTATTCTTTCATTCGCGAATTGCCTTTTCAAGGAACACTCACCGTGGGGCTTTTTCATGTTGTGCATGTAGCATTCTTCTTGTACAGATTGTGTTTACAAAATGATTGTGTGAGTCAGATATTAGGAGGACACAGCACTTTTGATGTGGTTTTCTTAATGCAACACACATTTTGATGATCGGCAAGTATGGGAGCTCCATTACAAGCACATTTGATCCTTACAAAGAGGGATGGTGGAAGGGAAAGGGAGGACAGATGGAAAGACATTCAATTTGTTGACCAGGAAATGGCCCATAAATGCTCAGTCTGGTACTATCCAGCCTAAACCAATCTCTCTCTATATCTACAGCTGGAGGAAAAGTGGATTTTGATGACTTTGTGGAGCTGATGGGTCCCAAGATGCTAGCAGAGACTGCAGACATGATTGGAATGAAAGAACTACGGGATGCCTTCCGTGAGGTGAGAATCACACAACCCATTTCTCTGATGACCTAGGGTGTGTATGTGCAGAGAGTGGAGGAAATTGCTACAACTTTGCTCTTGGCCCTGCTTTTCTATACAGTGATCTTTATACTAAGCTCTCTACTACTACCAGTATAATGGATTTAATTTAATACCATTAAAAGAGCTTTTGAACTTCTTTCCAGCTGTTAGTTTGTGTGTGTGAATGCCAGCAATGATTGTGCAGGAAAAGTATATATGATTGGAACACGGAAAGAACCTTCTTTATTTTTGCTCCTAGGATCTGGAACCCCTTTCATAATAAGGATTAATTGGCATCTCCAGCATATCTTTCTGTAGGCAGGTGAAAATCTTTCATTTCAGCAGGCCTTTGAGGACTGATGGCTTAAGGCGAAGGGGATTTTCATGGTATGCAGTGTTGCCAGTGGTGTATTCCCTAGGAATCTCTAGATCAACTTCTGCTACATGTTGACCATAGACCAACCTTGGCCCAAGATATACCTAAGGAGACCATACTAATCAAATCAATGAATAATCAAATCCCCCAAAGTTAAATCCCTGTGAATGTGCAGGGCTGACTGTATTTGTTGTTTTTCTTTTTAACAGTAATGCTTTTAATTCTATTGAATGTCTTTCTAGCCTTTCATTCACTGTCTCACCATCTCTGAACTTGTCATGGTTACGGGAAAGATTTGTCCATTATACCAACAGGGACATAGTTGCGGGAGAGCAAAAACAAGGGCTTTGGCCATCCAAATAATATTTTGCCCATCAATGGTAATGTTCCTTCAGTCCCCAAATGTCTAGCATTGCAGAGAGTGTGATACTGAATAATTCATACCTAGAACGCTTACTTTTTTGTATTATCATTCCTTTGATTATGTTCTCATGTTTGCCCTTTTCTCTTTGGATACTAAATTTCTGTTTCTAAATGCTTAAGTTTTAAGTTACTGAAATACTAAAAAAAAATACTAAGTTATAAGTTACTGAAACGGAACATTCCATTTAAACAAAGCTCTTATTTGGGGCAATGCCCTCCTTTTACTATCACTTGGCACTGTTTCTGTGTGTATGTGTCTTCAGTCTGTCTATCTACTTATGACAATCCCATTAATTTCACAGGCTTTCTAAGGTGGTTTAGCGACTTCCTTCCTCTGAAACATAGCCTACAGCACCTGGGATCTGTTGGCAATATGCCATCCAAATACTTATCACTTAGGTCCTCTGGGTGGCATTTACTCCAGCCTGCCAGAACCCGTATGGCAACCATCACCCAGAGGACCTTTTCATCGGCTGCCCTGAGACTGTGAAATGACCTGCTGGAAGAGCTAGTAAAGCAGCAGCCAGAATTTAAAACACAACTTAAGACCTATCTTTTCCAGCAGACCTACCCAGTCAATGTTAACTTGTGAATTGTAACCTGCATTTTATCAGAAAATTTTAATCTGTATGTTACGTGTGTATATTTGTTATATCTATTTTAATAGTGTTCTGTTTATCTCGCTATTTTAATCACATTGCACCCTGCCTCGAGCCGTGAGGAGAGGCGGGGAATAATTATATCGTCATCGTCGTCGTCAGGGTTAACCGTATTTAACTTCAAAGATCAGATGGGCTCAGGTGCCTTTTAGTGTATTTAGGCAACATTTTTCTATATCAATGCTAAGAAAGCTTCACAGCATTCACCTGTTATCATAGCTAATTTCTACTCTGAGGACAGGAGTTTTTGGTTTCTGCACTCTACCCAATTCAGATTGTAAATAACATATCCTAGACTTTAAACCTGGTTTTTGCCTCCTGCAGAATTCTAGGGTTTATAGTTTGGGGAGGAGCCTTTAACCGCCTAACTAAACTACAAACTCCAGAATTCTGCAGGCGGCAGAAGCCGGATTTAAAGTGGATTCATTCTTTAGTGTGATGAAGTAGCAAGTTAGGGCAACAGTGATACTACCACTGGCAACAAAATGTCAAAAATGGTTAGAAATATGTGATGGGAATGACAAAAAAATTCCTTGACACTATCCAATTCATTAGGCTCATGATCTTATGGAAAATGGTGGTATGGTGAAATAGAACAGATGGGGAATTGTGCTTTCTGCTCTTGCAACCCTTTAGGGGCTGCTTAAATGCCAAAAATATCTTTAAAGGAAATGGGTATAAGTTTATTTCTGATTTTGAAAAAAAAAGGGTTATATCTAATGTCACAGTAAAAGGGGCCCTGCAACTATTAAAACTATAAATCTTTGTTTATAAAAGCTTTCATGAGAAGAAATTTGTTTTTCTATGGAAAGCAGTAAGAGGGCAAACTGGGGAGCTGAGAGAGTTTAAGCCCTGCAATAAGATCTTGGAGGAGTATGAGCAACTCTAGGGCCATACTTTACCCACTCCTGAGCTAGAAGGATACATGTGAAATGGCATTTTGAGACTAGCCAAATGATCCAATGTAGGCAAGTTGGAAAACATTGGTCTGGGTCTAATATCCAGGTGGTTCCGTGTGAACCTCTACATGCAAAATTATGTGCTGATTGTGCTGTGGTTATGGGTTGAATGGACACCATTGCACAATCAAGTGAGCATTGCTGCCATCTCTACAGGTTGATGCAAATTGACATCTTCTCCAACTGATAATTGACTTCGGATATTAAGCATTGGACAAAGAAGTCCAACTGCTATTATAAGGGAACTTATTGATAGGTTTGTAGCTGTTATCTGTTGATAGCAGAGAGATATTTGAAACAGGAATAACAAAGCCCATAAACAGCAGCAAGGGAAGATTCCAGAGTGATAATGAAATTCTTTTAGTGAAATATACATGTGACTGAGGTTCTCAGATTGTTAAGTTTGCATGAGCATCCTTTGTAAGCTGGCAATGTGTGGTGCATGCAAGTCCTGTGATGAATATGGCCTGTACTTCAAGTAAGTACCAAGCCCCCCATTCACTAGTTTTATCAGTTCATCAAAAGTGGAACAAGACAGGATGGTATCCCTTGGATTCTAGGAGGTCTTATTTTGCTTTCCTCTTTCTAGTTTGACACAAATGGCGATGGGCAGATCAGCATTGCTGAGCTACGCGAAGCCATGCGTAAGCTCCTGGGGCAGCAGCTGAACTACCGTGAGGTAGATGAGATCCTCAAAGATGTTGATCTCAATGGGGATGGCCTTGTGGACTTTGAAGGTACAAGAGAAAATAGAATTCTTTCCTTTCTTTTTTGATTTTGTTTTTCCTACTGAGGGTAAGGTGTGAAGGTCAAGGTTATGCACCTGTAAGAGTTCCCAGCAAAAGATCATACAAAGACCATCTACACTGCTATATAATGTGGCATAGTGATGATCACATTATCCTACAGCATCGAAATGACACACTAGGCTAATGTGTTTTGATCTAGAATAAACTTGCTCATCCAGGTTTATTCTGGCTTAGAAAAATACCTGCAAAAATATGAATCTATGTGCCTCAGTAAATTTACTAGATTTACTTTTGGGGGTTAAATGGGAGAGGGGTTCAGGAAGGGGAGATGATGCCCTTGACCACCTATGCAACCGTGCATTGACATAGATAGATGTATGGCCGCCCTCAGTCAAAAAGGCAGGGTTTTGACTGACGGTGTGGCCAAAAGATGCTACATGAACCATCATTTTAAATGTTGATTCATGTTGTATTTTGGCCTGTGTAGAATGGCTCAGAGAAGGAGATAAAATTCCTGCTGATCCAATATGTCACATTTTATCATTGGTTTCCTCATGGATCCTTTTTTCCCCACGCCACAGCAGAGAGCTTGGAAGAAACAATTTCTCTGTTCATCTTCCAGTCTCTGTACAATGACTAATTAATAATTAGGGCAGAACCAGTTTAAAGATTCCTCAGTCAGCCTAACTGACTCATTCTCTTTTGGTTATCCATGACCTCTGAAAAACAAACCTGCGATGTTAACTCTTCTGGTTCTAAGTGAAGTTTCTAAAACAATATATTGGTTAGGCAGAAAACGGTTAGACTACCATTATCTTCCTCTCATTGCCTCTTTTTGTTAGGAGCAGATGGAATTATTATTATTATTATTATTATTATTATTATTATTATTATATTTTTAGTTTTATACCTCACCTTCATCTCCTCGAAGGGACTCGGGGCAATGTAATAAAATGGAATAATTTTTTTAAAAATCCAATCAAAATAATCAGAAATATATTTTTTAAATTTTTTAATTGAAAACAAAATAATATATTTGAACAGATGATACATGTCTATTGTAGGTTTACATTATGATAACATATTTCTATATTATATTATATAGAAAGATAGAAATATATAATCAAAAATAAAATAAACACATCGCAATAACGCTTGTCCATTCTACCTGTGATGGCAACATTTTTGGACTTCTTTTTGCAGAATTTGTGCGGATGATGTCTCGCTGAGAGCTGCTAATAATAGCCAAGGGAAATGTGCCTTATTGAGCTGAGAGTCTTCAAGCTGCCATACATTCCAGGGTAATGAATCTTATCATCCGAAGCAAGGGCAACATGCAAGAACTTCCCACACATCCTGTGCACCCTGCCAAGAGCCAAACAACCAGTCCAGAAATCCAGAGATCCACAGGAACTTCACAACTTACAGTAACATATGACTAGACCCTCAGCCAACACCTAATCTACTTCAGTAGACGCTCTAACTTCGGATACAATCATACCTTGACTCTGAACTGTTTGCTCTCCTGCTAAACTTCCATGTTATGCATACCTTAAGGAGGGAGCAGGGAACAGTGTTAACCAAGATCCCCTAAAACTGGTTCTGCATACAGTTGTGTTCCAAGTATTCCATATGCCTCTTTGTTATCTCAAAGAGGAAGCTTGTTTTTACCTTTCTCTATATATATTATCTATGTTTTAAAATGTATTTTGTTTCCCACTGTGGCCTGAGTTGTACTACTACTACCACTACCACTACCCAATTTCTGGGGTATGATGTAATTACTAGCTATCCTTCCTATGTCCAATGGAAGTGCAAAAGTGATGGAAAAGGCAGACAAAATGTGGCCTGGTTCTTGACCTGGATACAATGACAGTTGCTCTTAGCCACTTCAGTGACTAAGAGGGATTTGTGACAACTCAAATATTCATAAGGACTGCTGGAAGTAACAGGGATGATCCTGAGATGCTTCTTCAGTGACATGGCTAAGAATCGGATGTTGCATTCCTTTGTTACCAGGACTCACTTTTCCTTTCCTAGGCTCTGCAAAAGTTAGTCTGCTTTAAAGACTGTTCTTCAATTACATGTGTATAGCACATATGTCTCCTATACTTGGCCTCAGAATTCCATATGCTTGTGGTTTTCAAACTGTGCTTTGGAGAATTCTGGGATCCTCTGGAAGTTTATTAGAGCCTCTCTACAATAGAAAACCAGTAATGGTTGATCAACTTTTCCCATTATCTGTTTAAAATACCCAGCTTTACAGAAGTGCTGGGCCAAACCTAAGGGGCCCCCTTCGAGATCATATACAGCGGTAGGGAGGTCCAACTGGTCTGGCCTAGCATTCTGTAGAATATAGGTGTAAAATTCAGAAAATTCCCAGAATTATTTCAACCCAGAGAGATTCTCTGAGATGCACATCATTAGGTAAATCAATGTGAACAAGACTGCTTGAATTCAGAACATCCCTGTACTCCGCAGCTGGAAATGGAACACTCTTGGAAATCTGTACTTTTCCACTGAAAATGAAACTGGTTGTTGTTGTTGCTGTTTTCTCAGTTCCTTTCCTATTGAGAAGAAAAATACATTTCAGGAAAGATAGTGTTCCTTGACCATAATGTTCCTTCATGTGTGCATATGTCCTACATTGTTCTTCTCACAGAACTAATCTAACTGTATCCGAAAGCTTGTTCAAACAAGCTCATTAAACTAGGTTGCACTATGCGTTTACTTCATGTCTACCATTATTGACCTGGTGGAGGCTCCTTCTTTGGAGGCTTTTAAACAGAGGCTGGATGGCTCTCTGTCAGGGGTGCTTTGAATGCAATATTTCTGCTTCTTGGCTCATGAGGTCTCTTTCAACTCTATGATTCTATGACTTGGACACCCATTCTGATGTGATCTTAAATGTCTACTGTGAAGTATTTTATGGGTTTCATCACAGTGAAGTTGGTGAACCTTAGCCACAAATGGACGGTTATACAAAAGCATATCTCCCTTGCTGTTTGTCTATGAATATGATTTATTGCCCCCCCCCCTTTGGTGGCACAGCAAATTAAACAGCTGAGCTGCTGAACTTGCTGACCGAAAGGTTGACATTTCAAATCCAGGGAATGGGGTGAGCTCCCACTGTTAGGCCCAGCTTCTTCCAACCTAGCAGTTCGAAAACATGCAGATGTGAGTAGATCAATAGAAACTGGTTTGGCGAGAAGATAACGGCACTCCATGCAGTCATGATGGCCACATGACTTTGGAGGTGTCTACGGATAATGCTGGGTCTTCGGCTTATAAGTGGAGATGAGCACCATCCCCCAGAGTCAAACACAACTAGACGTAATGTCAGGGGAAACCTTTATCTTTACCCGTAATTTATTAAATTTAGCCAGATGTCAACAAGTATTCTCTATGCCAGTGGTTCTCAACCTGGGGTCCCCAGATGTTTTTGGCCTTCAACTCTCAGAAATCCTAACAGCTGGTAAACTGGCTGGGATTTCTGGGAGTTGTAGGCCAAAAACATCTGGGGACCCCAGGTTGAGAACCTCTGCTCTATGCAGCTTGCAGGTTGATGAAAATAACCTAAAATGTTAAATATTAAAATGCAATAATTCAAAACAACAAATTAAAACCTGAAAATCAGTGGTGGCCAAAGAAGTATGTAAAAATGAAAGGATCTTCACCAACAATTAAGATGGCACCAGGTGAGCTGCTCTGGACAGTATTTCATAGTTGAGTTGCCACTACTGAGAAGGCCCTCTCTCCTCTTAGTAGTCATCCATCACTCAGTTAAGGCATAGGAAGCTAGACATTAAAAAGGTATTCTATATGAGAGAAAGGGGAATGTGTAGAAGATCAGAGTGCCCACTGCTTGCTGTTTGTAGGGATAGTCACTCTTAAAAGGTGGGGAAAGCCCTACTATTAAAAAAACTGATTGCTTGATTAACTGGGAGCATTGTTTTTCTGGAAAGTCAAGGTTTTTGGTTATCAAACAACCAATTAAAATTGCAATATAGATGGAAATATATTTCTTCCTCACAACACAGAATGCAAGCTCATGTTTGTCAAGCTGCCACATCCCTGGTTTGGCAGTCCAGCTTTCTGGGGCGAGTGGAGGGTGCTCAGTGGGGAGGGAAATACATGCAGGCGGCACATGCCCGCAGGCTCTCCTCCCCCACCTCCAGGTTAACAGCGGGTGAGTGCTGGCTGGCATTCAGGAACAGCAGTTGGCGACAGCATTTTACACTGTCCATTATAATTAGAATTTAATCTACGGAGCTGAATATGCTATACTAGTTCTGCGCCCCTTTCATTTTTAATGTGTGCCCAGTGAAATCCAGGAACTTGTAATAACCAATAATGAGAAATTATCTTTTTTTAGATCAACACTGCTTTCAAACAGACTGGCAAATTCTAACAACTAAACAAGGAATTAATTTGCTGTTGTCTTTGCCATTATTTTCTACAAGACTGATGTTGAGTGTATCATGCAATAGAAAAGCATGAAGGGATTGTTCTTTTTTCACTATCCTGAACCACCCCAAATGTGAAGGGAGCAGGCAGCTGACATGAGGACTAGCCTTGCTAGGTACCAGCCAGGGACCTCTGTTCAGAAGGTGGTTGCTGGAAACCACCTCTTGCTTGCCATCTTCCATCAGGTGAGGCATGACATAAACAGAACCCACTCTGTGACTTAGCTTCCTTTGGGTGGTGGGGAATCAAATGACAATGTGGATAAATAGGAAGTAGCAACAGCAGTGTGGAAGAGGGGAGGTCACTCAGAGAGAAGGACCTCTTGTGATGGAAGAGTACCAGGCAAACATCTCACCACCACACTCTATCTGACATTTCATATATATAGTGAGGCAAATTGGTCAGTGTGCCTCAAAACAATCAGCGCTCCACATTTGCTAGAGTTAGGGGCATATGTCCCTGTGGAAGTGAAAAACCACAAATAAAGATATTAATGGGTTGTTGTAGGTTTTTTGGGCTGTATGACATCACAACCTCTGAGGATCCTTGCCACAATGCAGGCAAAACGTCAGGAGATAATGCTTCTAGAACATGGCCATACAGCCCGAAAAACCTACAACAACCCAGTGATTCCGGCCATGAAAGCATCCGACAATACAAAGAAATTAATTTTTGATCTAATATTAGATTGGCTCCCTCCCTCCTTGTTTTTAGAAAAACAGTTAAGATCTGGCTCTGGGATCAGGTATTTGGGAATAGTGCAACACAGAATTGATATGCAGCAGTATGAAGGATGACCACACTTTTAGGTATGTGGTTTTAAGTTTTTAACAGTGTATGTATTTATATGGTTTTTTATGTTTAATTTGTTGTATTTTATGTTAGCAGAGTCTTTCTTTATTATAAATTCATAGTGGAAAACATCAAAAGTAAGAAAACAAACATCTTGCATCAGATATCAGACCCTAAACAAAACATTTAGAGTCCCAAACTCCAAAACGCCATAGCTTCTCCAAAAGCTCAAGGCTATAGCAATAGCAGAACGCTGAGGGACGCTGAAAGCTGCTGAAGGCTGCTGCTGGCTGCAGGCAGATGCAACACATTATAACCACAGTGATTAGATCCACCTGCACCCAGTTAACCAAAACCACATCACAAGCATTTCAGCAATTAAAGATACAAACTTACTTATACATACATAACCCAAATACATACAATGAACAGATAAAATTTTGCACATTTTTACAGTTCTCCTGACATTTTATATACTTTGTATTGCAATGTGACACTGAAGTGGCCAATCTGCAACCCGCTCTGAGACCTCCTTGGGGTGAGAAGAAGAAATAAATATCTTGAGAGAACATCTCTTCATACATTTCTAGATCTTCCAGCCCAAACCTATAGTTAACTTCTGCTGGAAATTGACCATAGAATTGTATTGGAGGACAAAGAAATTCTAAGAAAGGTGTTCTCTCTAGAACAGTAGCTCTCAACCTGGGGTCCCCAGATGTTTTCAGCCTACAACTCCCAGAAATCCCAGCCAGTTTACCATCTGTTAAGATTTCTGGGAGTTGAAGGCCAAAATATCTGGGGACTCCACGTTGAGAACCACTGCTCTAGAAATCTCTAGGTCCTCCAGAATGACTAGAGGAAGTTGAGCATCGAGTCACACTGGAGCATCAAGATTCCGAGAGACCATTTTTAATCAAATCTGAATATTCAAATTCTCAAAAGCCAAAAGTGCAAATGTGGACAGGCGAATCTGACTCAGTAGCTCTCCTAGATTTCAGGCAGAATTCTCTAGTATCCAAAGATCTGGATACTAACCAAGTGTACTCTTGCTTTGCTTCTGAAATCTGATCAAATAAGGTGTTTTCACGGTGGTTTGACTACTAATAAGTGGTGCAAGCAAGACAATTAATACACAGAATATGGATTGAGATTATAACATTTTTAAAATACTGTAATATTTATTCTTCATGTAACATGCAATATATAACAATGTAGTTACAGGCAAGACCTTCAATTGGGCAGAAACTCCTTGATCAAAACATTTACTTACTGGACTTAGTCCTGACATGAGGTCAGTTTCTACTGAACCCTTTCTAACTGCTGCCAGCATCTCACAATTGGCTCAGAAAGTAACATCAATTGTCCCCAGTAATTCTCTCTAAAAATATAAAATCCAACCTTGGTACAAGCTATCAAGCCCCATTAATTTAAAAATGTGTTTCAGTATATACTGTTTATCCTTTGCCTTTCTCAATGCTAGAATAAGTCATTTTTCATTATCATTTCTGAACAGGAATACATCATCCTAATCCCCTCTAAATACAGATCAAAACATTCCTAGAATATTGGCCTTTTTGTTTGTTGCATCACAACTGACCAGTTTAGGCATCCTCATCTAATCACGGCATTTCTTCTCTATTATGTTTAACAAGTGGATGCTTGCGGACATTTGCTGAAAGGTTTAATTCCAACTGGCCAGGAGCACAGTGCAAAGGGCTAGATGTTTCATAACAAAATCACTGTATGACCTAAAATAAATTCAGTGCTGACATTTTACAACATTACACACCTTCAGTTTGCGGAAAAAGATTTAAAAATGGAAAAGGTCTGGAAAAACTTATTGTCATTTTTTTTCTATAATCTGTAATTATGTGGGGTTTATTTTGAAGTTCATTTTAAACAAATGGTTGTTACACAGCACAGCTTTCTTACAGGTTGAAAGGACTGCATTGTTTTGAAAAGAACAGGGCTAATGGTGTTGGAGTTTAGGCTCCTATTTAATTTCTGTCTTTTCAAAGCTTAGAACACGACACCATACAATCATCAACCAAGCAGCATCATCTTCTTTCTTTTCACTCTTTTCTGTCTGAAAAGTTCAGGACCTTGCAAAAGAAAAGATCAATGGAGCTGCTTAAAGGCCCTCTGGAGCAAATAATATCCCAGACCTTCTTGCATCTTTATCTGTAGAGAAGGTCAGCGGTCTTTCCATCTGCTCTTTCTCTTCTCTTCCCAATTCTTCCTTCTCATTGGCCCTTTTCACTCACTACCCTTATGCTCACTCAGTCCTTCCTTCCCATTCGCACCAGGTACAGGATCCTCTTTTTCTGTCTCCAACAGACCATAATGGAGGTATTACAATTGGTTTATGATTTTGTTGGTGGAAGGCTCGTGATTGATGTTAGGCACTACCATCTACAAATAGATATTAACAAAACGTTGTAACCGCAAAAAACACACACACACCA